ATGATCTGGTGAACTGGAAAGTGACCTGAGATGACATGATGTGAATTGGAGCTATAGAAATAAACTGAATAGAACTGAAGTGCTGTTCAGAGGAAAGGTGAGGGTGGATCCTGCTCCTCTGAGCTGATGGAGGTTCTAATCCAGCTGCTGCTGTTTTTCTACAGATGCCAGTCCAGGCGGCGTGTGCCCCGTTGGCCCCTCCCCTTCCACGCTCACTCAGCCGCTTCAGGAACGCTGGAGGAACCTCCGTGGACTCGGAGCAGCCGGTCCGGATCGCAGCACCGGGCGACACTCGGATAGCTTGTCCTTCGAGGTGACGGACGCCAGCGTGGTCCAGGATGGCGCCTCCAAATTCGTGGTCAGTTCAACGGCGCCGCTTTAATGTCCGACATCAGATCAGAAAAGATTGAGTTGGTTTCTGTTGCTGCAGCTCTACACCATCCATGTGATCCAGTCGGGTGGCAGCGATAAGACTCCTGCCGTCATCAACCGCCGCTACTCTGACTTCCAGCGACTCCATGCCGCCCTGAGGCGTAACCATGGTGACCAGATGGAGCGCGTCTCGTTCCCACGTAAGCAGAGCTGATGTTCTCCACTGGTTCAGGTTCCATTTCTGACTCCGGTTCTCATGTTCTTAGGAAAGAAGCTGCGTAGGAACTTCACGGCCGAGACCATCGCCAAACGCAGCCGGGCCTTCGAACAGTACCTGTCCCACGTGTGTTCCCTGCCTGTCCTGCGGGGGGCGCCGAGCGTGCGCCACTTCTTTTACCTGAGCGACCTGCAGGCGGGCCAGCTGCTCCTCAGGTAACAAAGCAGAACCTGTTCTCCCGTCTGGACATGAATACAGATCCTCTGATTCTGAGACTCTGGAGAAGAACCAGCGTTTAAAACCAGAACAGAACCTGCATGGAACCCACTAGAACATCTGGAACAGGTGGATTTAGGCAAATTAAAGGATCCTGGTTTGATTTCTGGACTTCTCTGACCTCTGACCTTTCCAGCAGAAGGTCACGACGTTGTGCTTCTGCAGGAAGCAGCCAAATACTCACAACCAAGACTGAGACAGCAAAACAATATTAGAACATGGATGGAGAACAGAGTTGAACGTTAAAACAATTCTATTCAGTTTATTTCTATATCTCCAATTCACATCATGTCATCTCAGGTCGCTTTATAGATCCAGATCAACCAGATCATCCAGTCAGATTGATTCAGTTTTCTATCTAAGGAAAACCAGCTGATTGTTCCTAGCACTGATCCCTGTGGTTTAACCTTTGAGCAGGAGGAAGATCTGTCATTAATGGAAACGCCGTTTTTTTCCATTGTTCCTTGATTTCCCGTTATTCCATCATGTTCTAATCTCCCAGATGAGTTTAGTGTCATTTGGAGCCGTTCTGTTTATATTCCGTTTTATATCCTGTAACGTCTTCCTAACGGAATAATTTATCATGATGATGTCATCAGCCTCCTTCTGCTCCAACCAATCCCAGGTGTGTTTGTTTCGTCCTTCAGGTCCGGACGGTTCCAGGAGGCATTGGGTCCTCTGCTTAATGCAAAGAGACTACAACACAAGTTGGGCTGGGCCAGTAACCATGACGACGGGATGCAGTCCCCACACCTGGCCTCATCTCATTGGTTCTTCACCTTGGTGGGGCTGTTGTGCTGTTTCCAGGAGGAGGAGCAGCTGGAGGAGGCTCTGGAGCACGGAGAACTTGCCCTAAGTGTTCTTCTCCCTAACGAAAGCTGCATCGGTGCTCAGCGTAAGCCCCTCCCACTGCAGGATAAGCCCCTCCCCTTTATGTGCCTGCTGCTGCCGCTCCTGCAGGCAGTGATCCGACTCTCATGGCAAACAGGAAGAGACAAGCAGCGGTGGGAGGAGCATCTTCAGCAGCTGGGGGAGCAGCAGGTGGGGCCAGACGACCGTCTGACGGTCAGAGAGTTCCTGCTGAGGTTCCAGCTGCAGGAGGCCGCTGGAGGCGGAGGGAGCTCCACGTAGGAGGAAGCAGTCCCAGACTTTCAGAATAAAGCGCCGATATATGCTGGAGGTCAATGAGGTCAAACATTTCTGGAACATCTTGGCTCCTCAGATTGGTTTTACTCTCCATCCTTAGAAGCATCAGAACTGCCTTTAAAGGTCCAGAATTAGTGATGGAGGCGAGTTCATGCAGATTGTTCCAGATGCCTCAGAGAAGGAAAGGTAACAGAAACAGAGGAGGAAAGGAAAGGTAACAGAAACAAGGAGGAAAGGTAACAGAAACAGAGGAAGGAAAGGGAACAGAAACAGAGGAAGGAAAGGTAACAGAAACAGAGGAGGAAAGGTAACAGAAACAGAGGAAGGAAAGGTAACAGAAACAGAGGAAGGAAAGGTAACAGAAACAGAGGAAGGAAAGGTAACAGAAACAGGAAGGTTCTGCTGAGGAGCAGAGCTGAAGCCTTAGCTCCTCAGCAGAACCTTCACTACCCAGGAGGAGCTTTCCAAAGAAGCCAGGATGGAGCTTCAGCTGTTACCGGGGTCTGGCCCGTGATGCAGGCTGTGACGCTGGGCCGAGTCTGACTGGGTCAGAACCGTGCTGGAAGCAGAACACCGCTTCCTTCTTCAGGTTGGAGCAGAAATCTTCCCCAGAGTAGCAGCAGCAATCATCATCTGATAGTTGCTATGACGCCAACAGGCCGCCTCCCCCTTCTGGGGGTTCACATATCAATCATTATCCTGCTGCTCCCAGGCGTCCGGTTGGAGGTAAAACCTAGGGATGGTTGCCATGGAGACCCGCTGATGACTGGATGCTGGACAGAAATAGATGTTTGATTGACATCCGCATCCAGCCGGGCGTCCAGTCGGACAGAGGATCATGATCAGGTCAGATTCTGATCAGTTCTCTGAAAGCAGGAAGCCAGTTTATGGACCCTGACAGCAGCACGAAGCAGGCTGTTGCTATGGAGACTTCATGTGATCCATGTTACTGTACCTGAAACAGCTGGATCTTGCATCCAGGTTCAGGTTCCTGGTTTGTTTCTCCAGTTTGATCTGTTAGAAAAGCACACATGCAGTTACAGTGTTTGTCCAGCAGGGGGCAGAGCGAGGCGAACCTGAATGCCATATTTTCAGGACAGCATCAGAGATTTCAAACTTTAAGGACAATCTAAAAGGGAAAAGAAACTTTGAATATCAAACTTCTAATGTAAATATTTTAAACCTTTAGCTCTTTATTTTTGTATTTGAAAGTTTCAGACAGGAAAATGGATTCTGCAAAGATCCCTGCTGGTCCAGGCCTCTATTAAGGCACCAGCTGATGCCTTTGCCGGGTCCATGTTTCTCCAGGTTCTTTCCTTCATATTTGCCTTATGATGATTTTATTTCAGTGATTTTCCTTTGCACAGATTTCTTTCTTGCACTTTAGGGTTTACCATTTTGTTTACTTAAACGTCACATAAATGTCCAGTCTGCTGCTCCACTCTGCCCCACTGTGAGGCGTAGTTTCCTTCGGGCGTGGTGAGGTGTTGTTTAGGCTCCGCCTCCTGCCCCACTGCCTGAGATGGACGGTTTAGCAGGTTGCTGCTCACACTGAGCCGGCATTAAAAAGTGAAAATAGTTTGACTGAACTGAAACATTCTGATAAACGGCATTTATTGATTTAAAAGCATTTGGTTTGTTTTCATTTTAGTTTGATTGACTTTTGTTCCTTTAGTCAGAATAATCGAATATAGATTCTCTCATTTTAGGATGGATTGATCATCAATTCTATTCAGTTTATTTCTATA